TCTCTCATCGATGTTTCTAACTCTCTATTCCTCTCCCTTCCTCTCTGTAAAAAATCAGTAAAATTTATTTAAAAAAACCCACTCACCCACAGAGAGGTGGCCCTGGTGGAGATGGTGGTCATGTTCCACGGCATAGAGGAGCTTGCCAACCACGCTGTCATGGACCCGCTTCTGGTGGACACACAGGGCCAGGATGCTCAGGCCGTACTGGTAGTAGCTGGTGTGGGGCTGGCCCTTGTGATCGTGCCCTGAAAGGGGGAGAACCAAGGGGTGAGGGTGGCACCCCAGGCCTGAGGGGTTGCCTCTCTCTATCCCCTCCCAGCAACCAGCCCCACCAGCACACAGGACGCTTGGCCTATACTTCCCAACACCCTCCTCTGGGTCATGGGACCCTTTGTCCCTTCGACCCGGGCTCACGGAGGCCCGGTAAGCGTCAGGCGCTGTGCTTGGAGGTATGAACGCGGTGACCACGGGCAGGCGCCATGCAGCTGGGGCCTCTGACAATGACACAATCCACACTCAGGGGAGCATGACCAGAACTGAGATGTGGACGAGGTCCGAGAGGCGGTGTGACAGAGGCCCTGAGTCTCTGGGGAGTCAGGGCAGGACTCTCCAAGGAGGTGGTGCTGGGAGGGGAGGTGGGAGAGAGCTAGAGGAGAGGGAATCCTTCCACATACAAGGAACATATATGGAGACCCAGCTTTGGCAGCTAAGAGAAGGCCAGTGTGGCGGGAGCCCATGGAGTAGGCGAAGGGGTGAGCCAGAGAGTGGGCAGGCAGAAAAAGATCAGATTTATATTTAAAATGCTCGCTCTGTGTGTGCTGGGTCAGTTCTGGAGGAGGAAAGTTAGCAGAAAGAGGATGAGGAGTAGCTAAGAAGAAGGCTGTGTTGTTGCCCCAGAGGCCGATAGTCAGTCAATCTCGGTGGCGTGTGGAGTGCAGGAAAGGCTTGATCAAGGAAGGCTATTGGGGCGGGCCCACGCCTCCAAGTGGACAGTGAGGTAAGGAGAATGGAGGGCAGGAGCGAGGCCTGGAGAGCAAGCCCACAGTTCTGATGAGCCCACCCCCCTGGCAGGCTGCGTCCCCTCACCAATGGCCCTCTTCTCATCCTCCAGGAACCGCTTCAACAGTGAGACCAGCCTGTCCCCCTTGTGGCCCCCGATAAACTCGCAGTTGGCCTTGAGAGCAAGCATGTAGAGAGCCAGCTGGCCCATGGAGGGCTTGGCCTGCAGGTCACTGTTGTCGTCGCTGGGGGCATGCCTAGGACAAAGTCAGTTAGCAACACTTCCCGGAGAAAATGCCACCCAGGTAAGCCTGGCTCGGGGTGCCGCCTCCCGCCCCGCAACATCACAAAGTGCAAAAAAATAGCAGCAGTTGGAAAATTTGCTAGAACCTTCCCCAACACAGATATAGCCAGTCGGGTAAGCTGTGAGGTGGATGCCACACATATTTCATAACGATGAAAAATTAAACTCGAGGACACACTCCGAGGGTTCTCCCATCCAAATGGCCTGTGCCTGCCTCGCCATGTTGGTCACCCTTCGCCCACGTACTCTTCCCTTCCTTTCGTCTCCCTGCCCTGCATCTACTTCTCAAGACGGAGGCCAAGAAGGAGATGCTCCATGGTACTCCTGACCCTTCATCTCTCATCCAAATTCCCACACTGGACCTCAGAACAGGCCTCTTAATCCCCCTAGAAAGGGAGCACAGAGTCAGATGCTGCTTCTGAGCTCAGTTTGGAAGAGTGTGGTCATGGATTAGTGATGTCTGCCCCAGGCATGGAATAGGAGCACAGACACAGATGCTGCTTCTGAGCTCAGTATGGAAGAGTGTGGTCATGGATTAGTGATGTCTGCCCCAGGCATGGAATAGGAGCACAGACACAGATGCTGCTTCTGAGCTCAGTATGGAAGAGTGTGGTCATGGATTAGTGATGTCTGTCTGCCCCAGGCATGGAATAGGAGCACCTACACAGATGCTGCTTCTGAGCTCAGTTTGGTCATGGATTAGTGATGTCTGCCCCAGGCAATGGAATAAGAGCACAGACACAGATGCTGCTTCTGAGCTCAGTATGGAAGAGTGTGGTCATGGATTAGTGATGTCTGCCTCAGGTACAGGAGGGTGCAGAAGCAGCACAGGGACCCTGTATTGGCATCTCCAGTCTAGTCAAACCAATTCCATTCAACAGACGGAAAAAGGCGCAAGGGAGGTGAAATGTGTCTAATGTCTCCCACCCAAGCAGTGACAGGCCCAAACCAGCACGCAGGTCCCCTGTCTCTTAGGATATGGAGCAAGACAGGCTGGGGGAAAGAGAAGAGGGAGCATGGCGATACCTCAGGAGGCTCTGCTGGTAATCGACCTTGAGGCTGTGTAGGTAGAGGGCCTCCCTGGTGCTGGCCTCCACGCTGGAGAGGCGCAGGCCCACATAGATACTGGGGTTCAAGTGCTCCAGAGAGAGCTGGTCCATCCAGGGCAAGAGGCGCTGGCCGAGAGTCTGCACCAGGCTGCTGTCCACCTCGGGGATGTCTGACGAAAGAGAACAGGCCCCGTGAGGTCGCAGGGCAGGCCACCAGCAAGCAACTGCCTTCCCCTCACCAGGGCCTTCGCCTGGGAAGACATGTCCCAACTCCACCTCCGCCAGAACACACCCTGCTCGTAGGGGGAAATCTGGCCATAGAGCAAGGCAGAGCGGTGAGGGGTGCAGAGCAGGCACCCCCAAACAGCGGTTGGTGTGGGCCTGGGAAGGGTGGTGGTAGGTCGAGGACACAGGAAGCTGGTTGCCAGGCAACTACTCCGCCCATTTGGTGTGGGCCAGGGAAAGGTGGTGGTAGGTTGAGGATAGAGGAAGCTGGTTGCCAGGCAACTACTTGCCCATAGGAGTGACAGAGAGACTGGAGGCCAAGCCGCGTGGTGTGCCCCCCGGGCACCATGCCTGACCCCATCTGGTCCTCACACCAGCCCCTTGATGAAGGTATTGTCATCATTGCTTTGCACGCTCACCTCTGTCCAGCCTCTTCCCTTAGGGAAGGCACCTGAGCTGAGCAGGTGGCTTTGCAGTCATCTTGGACTCCTCCCCACCTCCGGCCTCCAGGTCACTGCAGCAGGGCTGCGTTCTGTCCTCTGGGCCCTGTCCCGGGATGTGAGCAGCCGGCCCCTCCCAAAGGGACTGCCGGCAGAGTGCCTCCTGGGCCTCCTCCCGCTCCCATGGCCCCATCTCTTCCGGTTTGGGTCCTCCGTGCACAGGTGTGAGTGCAGCATCCCTGTACGTGACCCGGAGCGCGAAGCCGGTGAGGCAGCACACGCAGAGAGGCAGGCTGGGAGCACTCTTCGCCCATTTTGCAGGCACGGGAATAAGGCTGAGAGTGACCGGGTGCCTACCGTCTTACATCTGTTTTCTCCAAATCATAGGTCTTTTTTGCTATGAGAGCAGGAAGGCAGGGCAAGGGGGATGGGGAGGGGGGTAAGTGGGAATCGCTCTCCTGGCCCTTTCTATCTTAGAGTCTTTCTGTGTATCTGTCTCCATTTCTATCTGTCTGTCTGTGTATCTGTCTCCATTTCTGTCTGTCTGTCTGTCTATCTGTCTCCATTTCTGTCTGTCTGTCTATCTGTCTGTGTATCTGTCTCCATTTCTGTCTGTCTGTCTGTCTATCTGTCTCCATTTCTGTCTGTCTGTCTATCTGTCTGTGTATCTGTCTCCATTTCTGTCTGTCTGTCTGTCTATCTGTCTCCATTTCTGTCTGTCTGTCTATCTGTCTGTCTGTCTGTGTATCTGTCTCCATTTCTTTCTCTTTCTCTGTCTCTGTCTCTCGCTCTCACTCTGATGACCTGTTTCTACACTACTCAGCCTGTCTCTCTCTCTGGTCATCTGTCCTCCCCACCCCCTCACCCCTTTCCTTTCCTTCTTTCTTTTCTTCAAAATGGCAAAGGAATCCCTGCCCCACCCGGGGCTCTGACCTCGGGCAGGTGAGTCAGCCTGGGGGTTAGAAGAGATAAGAAGAGAAGCTGGAGCAGTAAACAGCCTCCCTAAAAGGAAGGCGCCAGGCAGATGCACTCACGGTCATAAAGTGCCCTGGCCCAGCACCCTTTCCCCCTGGAGCCTCTGCGCCCAGGGCGCCCAGCCCTGCCCCGCCCTGCCCGCTGAGGCCTGCCTGGTATCTCCGCTCAGAGGCGCAGGAGCCCACCGTGCACAGGTGTGAGTGCAGCATCCCTGTACATGACCCGGAGCGCGAAGCCGGTGAGGCAGGTGTGCGGCACACGCAGAGAGGCAGGCTGGGAGCGCTCTTCGCCCATTTTGCAGGCACAGGAATAAGGCTGAGAGTGACCGGGTGACTCAGCCACAGCAAGCAGGCCCACACACCCAGACCTGGGCTCTCCAGGCTCCGTGGGAAGGGGACTTTAAAAATGGTCACAATGGCCCTGGCCGGTGTGGTTCAGTGGATAGAGCGTCGGCCTGCGGACCAAAGGGTCCCAGGTTTGATTCTGGTCAAGGGCACATACTGGTTGTAGGCTCCTCCCCATCCCAGGCCCTAGTAGAGGCTCGTGCAGGAGGCAACCAATTGATGTTTTTCTCTCACATCGATGTTTCTCTCTGTCTTTCCCTCTCTCGAAAAATCAATGGAAAAATCAGGTGAGGTTTGAAAATAAAAATAAATAAAATGTTCACAATCAGTGAGGTTGGGGACCGGGTTCTAGGTCTCCCCTGGGCACTGGCTACACAGGAGCCGAGAGCCAAGGGCTACGGGGTCTGGTGGCACTTGAGGAATCCCGGCTGGAGGCTGCTGGTGCCCCTGGCCTGGCTCTGGGGTTCTGAGAACCGAGTTGGCAAAGCCAGGTTCCTGGAAAGCGGCACCCTGGACAGGTCACCTCGCCCCTCCGACCCCTGACTGCTTCACCCATCACGTGGCCATGACCGGACCTGCCTCTCGGTTTCTCCAAGGATCACAGGAGAGCCTGCTGGTGAGAGTGTACGGAAGGCATCACGCAATGAGCAGAGCGCAGAGGGAAGAGACAGGTGGGTGGCTCAGGCAGCCCCAAGCCTGTCACTCAGACTCACAGACAGGTCCCGAGAGACCCCTGGGGTCCGGCCCGGGCACACGAGGAATACCATGCCAGTGTCTGACCGCCGCCCTCCCTGCCCCTCTGGGACGCGTCTCCCCAGCAGGGTGTCCATCCTCACTTCCCTCGGCCGGTTTCTTTTCCTCTTTTTGGATCTCAGTTCCCGTGATGCCCCAGCTCCTTGGAGATCCTGCCCCCACCTCACTCCCTGAATCGGTGGCCTTTGATGACCTCAGCCCCCACACACAGAGCCGATTCGCCTCTCGACTGCCTTTGTCTGTCCCTTCGCTAGAACGGAAGCTGTGGCAGGACAGGGACTGGCTCCGGCTCCCTCTGCGTTCTTCCCCCCAAAACCCTAACACCACGCCTGTCACCGGAAGGCTCAACCAACGCGCTGAATGGATCAGCGCACAGATGACGGAATGATCGGAGGCGAGTGTCCGGTGGGGAGTCAGACATGTAATTCATCTCAGCACATGTGCGGAATGCTGAGGTCCAGCCCAGCCCCCGCCAAGCCCAAACTGCTGCCAGAGCCCAAGAGGCAGGCGGGTACTCGGACCCCGTCCCACATCGCACCTCAGTTTCCCCAGCGATAGAAGGAGGGGCTCGAACAAGACGGTCCTTTCGCTAAGGACCAGGAGGAAAGAGGCGCAGGGAGGTCTGTTACTCACTGCAGATGTCAGCCAGGGCCCCCAGGGCCCCCAGCAGGAGGAGGAGCGCCCCAAGGCGCCCCATGGCAGCAGCAGGTGGGTGAGCAGCAGACGGGGACCTGGACGGGGAACTCCTGGGCTGGCCTGGCAGAGGCTGTCCTGACCACGGCTGGTCTGGTCGCTGCTCCGAGAGGCGGGTGCTGTCACTGATTAATCTCTCCTCGCCTGGCAGCGTGCTGCGAAGTCAGCAGAGACAAAAAGGGGGCAAGGTCTGTTGCCGAGGGGAAAGGAAGGCCAAAGACCAGAGGAAGGAAGGGCGTAGTGACCTTCCTGGAGGTAGGGGCAAGGGGGGGGGGAGAACAGTAGGGGCGGTGGGGGGGACGTTTTGAGGCCAGCCACATGTGTCCTTCTGTCCGAAGAGCCCGCCGTCGGACCTGCCCAAGTCTACCCGACTGCACCTGCCAGGTACCCCCCAACTGTTCCAGCGGGGCACGGGCAGTGCAGGGGCGCCTACCTGCTGCCCCTCACAGAAGGAGCCCCTGGAAGTGCCTACACCCGGCCTGGGACAGGGAGCAGAACGGGGAGCTGCGGTGGTCACGTGATCGAGACTGCTGAAGTCAGCTGTTATCTGCCCGCCCAGAAGGGTGGGGCTGGCTGAATCGGGACCAGACAGGCTAGATTTTTTAACCCAACGGAAAACTTGGAAGCATCCTGGAGACCAAACAAAACAAGTTAAGGGACAGGATTTAATCGTTTGAGACACAAAGCCATGGGCAGCGGGGCTGTTTATCAGGACTAGAAAAGTAACCCCCCAAAAAAATCTCTGCAAGGAGAGAAAAGGAAGGATTTCTCATCTGCCCGGCCCCACAGGCGGATCAGTGTACAAGAGTTAACTCTGGCCATGCTGTGTGACCTCGGCCAGGTCACTTAACCTCTCTGATTTGGAAATACTTTCTCCTGTGTGAGGTGAAACGTTGGGCAACATCCTTCTAACGAAGCTCCCTTCCAGCTCAACCTGTGAAGATGTTCCGCCCTTAAAACACCTCTAATCATTTCCAAATCCGCTTTTTCTATTGCAATCATTTTATGGCAAATAGCCAAGGTTCATTCTTTCAAGATAATGTGGTGTGTGTTTGTTTGTTGTGCCTGACTTATCACAAGTCAAGCTCTTGATATAGATAAATACAGTCATATACCTCATTTCAATCAAGGCTGGCCTGTATAGACAATGGCAGTCTCATAAGCTGATAATGGAGCTGAACAAATTCTTTATTATTTTGAGATCTGTCCATGTTGCCTCATGTATTTTTATTGCTGAGTAATATCCCATTGTATGGATAGACCAACATTTGTTTATCTGCTCACCTATTGGTAGACATCGGGCTTTTATAGACTGGCTTCTTTCACGTAGCAACATGCATTTAAAATGTATCCATGTCTTTGATAACGCATTTCTTTTCATTGCTGAATAGTATTCCATTTTTTTGATTTACCACAGTGTACTAGGTGTACTGATGTTGAAGCCACCATAACACCATAGTGCAAATGCTACAAAAATCAGTAAGGCCGTGGTTGAGATGGCAAACAACGCTAACCCTGGGTGTGGATGTGGATGGCATGGAGGAGCTCCTAACGGTCATTCTTGAGGAGCTGCCTAGTGAGGAGTTGTTGGAACTGGAACAGGAATGCATAGCTAAAGAAGAGGCAGAGAGCCCTAGCCGGTCTGGCTCAGTGGATAGAGCGTTAGCCTGTGGACTGAAGGGTCCCAGGTTCGATCCCGGTCAAGGGCATATGCCCGGATTGTGAGCTCGATCCCCAATAGGGGGCACGTAGGAGGCAGCTAGTCAATGATTCTCTCTCATCATTGATCTTTCTATTTCTCTCTCCCTCCCTCTCCTTTTCTGTCTGAAATCAATTAAAAATATATTTTTAAAAAGTCATGTGGTAAGATGGGGATCTGGGACTGGCTCGCTCACTGCTTGACAAGCAAAGAGGGTGCCAGCCTAGACAACCTTGGCATATAGGGCTGATGCTCTAACCAACGGAGCTACCCATCCAGAGCTGAACACTTTTTTAAAAATATTTTTTTTTATTGATTTCAGGGAGGAAGGGAGAGGAAGAGAGAGATAGAAACATCAATGATTGATCAGCTGCCTCCTGCCCTCCCCACATTGGGGACTGAGCTCGTAACCCGGGCATGTGCCCTTGACTGGAATCGAACCTGAGACCCTTCAGTCTGCAGGCTTATGCTCTATCCACTGAGCCAAACCAGCTAGGGTGAGCTGAACACTTTTTATTGCAGTGTCACTGACGTAAAAATTAACATACAGTTAACGGCATATTGACAAGGGTATACAACTGGGAAACCATGACCACAGTCAAGATTATGAACATGCCCATCACCCTGAAAACTTTCCTCCTGTTCCTTTGTAATGCCTCTCTCTCACTCCTGCCTCTCTCTCACTCCCTGCCTCCCTCTCACCCCTGTTCCCTCTGACCCCCTTCCTCCCCCATCCCTAGGCATCCATTGATCTACTTTCTGTCACTTTCCAGAACCTCATATTAATAGAATCATTCAGTATATAACACTTTTTTTCCTAGCTTCTTTCATTCAGCATATTATTTTGAGATCTGTCCATGTTGCCTCATGTATTTTTATTGCTGAGTAATATCCCATTGTATGGATAGACCAACATTTCTTTATCTGCTCACCTATTGGTGGACATCGGGCTTTTATAGACTGGCTTCTTTCACGTAGCAACATGCATTTAAAATGTATCCATGTCTTTTCATGGCTTGATAACGCATTTCTTTTCATTGCTGAATAGTATTCCCTTTTTTTTTGAAACATTAATGATGAGAGAGAATCACTGATCGCCTACCTCCTGCACACCCTCCACTGGGGATCGAGCCCACAACCCAGGCATGTGCCCCTGGCCGGAATCGAACCCAGGACCCCTCAGTCCACAGGCTGACGCTTTATCCACTGAGCCAAGCCAGCCAGGGCTAGACATATGTTGATATATATGCGATATGATATGTTTGCGATTTTATTGTATTGACAACAAGCTTCAAAACTTTCTATGTCAAATTTTTAACATCACAGATATTTTTACGCTTAAAAATGTTGAATTTTGTGCCAAAAAAAGAGCATTTGCGGGAAGTTTTAATTCATTACTTTATTTTGAAGAAAAGTGCTGCTGAAACCTTTGGGAAGCTTATGGTGAACATGCTCCATTACAAGATACCTGTGAGCGCTGGTGTAAACGCTTTAAAAGTGATGCTTTCGATGTGAAAGACAAAGAACGTCCAGGTCAACCGAAAAAGTCTGAAGACCAACAATGACAAGCATTATGGGGTGAAGATGCGTGTCACACTCAAAAACAACACACAGGAAGATTAAATGTTGCTCAGCAAACAATTTCCGATCATTTACAAGCAATGGGAAAGATTTTAAAGGAGGGAAAATGGGTGCCACATCAACTGAACGAAAGACAAATGGAAAACCGAAAAGTCATCAGTAAAATGCTTCAACGGCACGAAAGAAAGTCTTTTTTGCATCGAATTGTGACTGGCGATGAAAAGTGATTTATTTTTGAGAATCCCAAATGCACAAAATCATGGGTTGATCCAGGTCAACCATCAACA